AGGAAAATTCCTTCAATACCCGTCCCCGCAAACTTTGACCTTTTGGGCTGCTTCTGCTTGGGGTCGGCCCAGTACAAAATCTTAGCCCCAAAGGGAACAAGGACCCCTTGGAAGTCGCTCCCGAACCTTTGATTCCATGGCACTAAACCGTTGTCAAGACGTTTACTAACGTTCAAAGAAATAGCGTGATGTTGGGATGCAAGTGGCCAGAACTGATCAGGTAAACCAGATTGTACCAAATTGGCACGCGTACCTTCCAAGATCGTTCGTATTTCGCGCTCGATCACTGCTTTGTTCTGATCCACATACTCCCTGGATGTATTGTGCCTAGCTTGGAGTTGCTTAACCGCGTAGTCGAACTCATGAGCGTTGTCAGAGTAAACAACCTTAACATTATCATCGACCTCGAAAAAGTGCAGTAAATCTTCGTAACACTGCTCACCACTTTTGTTGTCGGCCGGGTAAACATAACGGAACTTCGTAAAGACATCCTTCACAACATGTGCTACAGTTTGTCCTTCGAATCCGTAGTCCTTGGCGTCCTTCGTGATGATGTGGTCGATGGTGATGTGGTCACCGAACCCCTTGCTGTGCACAGTGCTAGAACCTCCCTTTCTTCTGGCATGCGGAGCATACATTTTGGCTCGTTGACATACCGGACAGAAAGGGTTCTTTGGACGATGACTCAAAAGATGCTGCACGGATTCCGCTTCAGCTCTTAGAGACGCCTCGTCCTTCTTCGACTTTGGAATGTGGACCTCAACGTCGCTATCGGGCACATCTTCACCGCCATCGGGCATGGTAAAGACAGTGATGGTCATGTCGGTACCCTCAGGTACCTTCCCGTAGACGGCGTCGAGCTCGTCCATGTTGACCTTGTTCTCCAGCTGCTTCCACTCGCCATCTTTGTATCCCCAGGTGGAACGAATTCGATACTTGGGGTAGCGAGGTGCAGGTGTTCTGAAGGTCTTTGGGTTATGGGCAACCTTGACGTGGGGATCACCATTCACAGTAACCCATCCAGCCTTCAACAGTTGCTCTTTCTTCATGCCTTCAAGAGGGGGATCCTTGGTTAGGATCTCTGCCAGCCATGGTGGATGATCTCCCTCGTCCGCCGCAGGTACCGGGACTACACCGTCTGGAGCTCCTGGAAGTGGTCCGGCTGCTGCGGCATGCCCTTTCGGGCAGCTTATGCGTGAAAATCCTGCTGCAAGGAGCAGGTAGGCGCCATTCGTTCACCTTCATCGCGATGCGCTACAGCAGCTGGGTGTCCGGAATCATTCCCAATACTGCTGAACACTGGAACATTCCCCCGTAGCGTGCAAGTGAGCTTCTGGCCATCGGGCTTCACGAAGTACGGAACTTGCCCTGGAGGCCAGTAAAAACCGTACCCTTGCTGCATGCACTTCTTTCCTACAGAGCAAACCGGTGGGGTATCCGGGAGTTCCACGAATTCCAGGCTGCCATTCATTGACGGAACCTCGACTTCTGTCCTGGACGATGCCTCCACGATGCCATTGGCCGTGTGAAGGTTGACTGGCGTTGCGTCGACTTTTCTACCGACTCCTTCGAAACACTTTCTCAAGTCCGAAGAGCTGATAAGGTCCTCTTCACTTCCCGTATCGGCAATGATGTCCAAGCTCTGAAGTTCCTTGCGCGCTGGAGCGGCAGTTCCTGACATTATGTTTCCTGCTGCACAATGCCGGCAAGCGAAATCAGGCTTGCAGCAGCGATGCTTGCATTTTGTCTTTTCACCATGGAGTTCCGAGTACACTGAGGCCTCAAGATTTTGTGCGTTGATGACTGCACACTGAAGATCACCAGGGTCGGACATAGGGCAATCAGCATTGGTTTTGAACCTTGCCACACATTTGCGCTTATGGGGAACAAATTTCCAACCATCTCCGACGCTTTCAACTGGGTGTATCTCAGGGTGCCTTTCAAAACACACACTCATGTCTTTAGGCTTCAGCTTGAAACTCGTAACGCCCGTCCAATTGGGCAGAGGTGCTTGCTTATCGCACGTTTTCCAATTGTACTGTAACGTTCGCTCTTCGCCGGTTTTCAGCTTCATGGTGATGCTCGCAACAGACTTGATTCTCCATGCTGGAACGGGGCAGCTTTGGGGAATAAAATAGTTGTTTCTCAGAACAACATGTTCCCTAGACAGCGTGAGTGACTTCTCATCAAGACGCCATGTGTCTGCATGCCTACCATCCGGCTCACCCTTTCAGGCGGCTAAGGCGTACACGCAACAGGCAGCTGCTTTAGCTTCTGTCCTCTTCTTCCGGCTCGGCCTTCGCTTAGCCGGGGAGGGTGCACGTGCCTTAGCCTTGGCCGGGACAGAGGGCGATGCGGACTTGTCCTTGTGCAAGAACTTGCATTTGTCCCCATTCCTGCAAGTACCCTTGGCATAAAATACGCATGGGATGTTGGAGGTATCTTTGCTGTTGCTCTTCTCTCTCTCGCGAGAACCTGACTTAGGCCGGTTGGGAGATCTCTCCCTTGAGGATGCTTTGGGGTCTTTCGTGTGTTCATACTTGCAACGCTCCCCAAACTTACACTTACCCTTCTGAAACAACATGCAAACCTGCCTACCCTGACGTCCTCTGGATGGCTGTCGTCGCTCCGAGGGAGCGGGCGCCGACGGCTTCGCAGGGGTAGGAGGGGCAGGTGCACCATACTTTGCGCCATGGGCCTTAGCAATCTTGTCCCTGTTCTTCCTAATTCGTTCTCGTGTGAGGAGATTCTTGATGCTTTCCATGAGGAACTTGTAGGTGTGCTCAGGGGTCCCCTCACGAGCCCGATCGTAAATGTCGAGATCGTACTTCAAACGATGGGACTTGCGAAGCTCACGAAGGAATATGTCTCGCAAAGTGGTTTCGTCTGGAGGATGCGACAGTCCAGCGATCACTGAATCCCAGTTATGCACGAAGGTAGCGAGGTCATCATTGATCAGTGCCACTTTCAAGAGGTCTTCGACCGAGTAGAGGGAGCCAACTTCTTCGTTGGTTTTAAAGTAGGCTTCAAACATTAACAACACTTGCCTACCTCTCACTGCTCTACCACAGGTGGCCTCCGTCTCCTTGTAGTTGAGTATTTGTCTCGCAAGCTCGCCCTTCGCCACCCTAGACAATGCTGCAAGGATTTTGGTGTCTAGCGTGAGGAATTTCCCTACATCGTTGAGGCTATCTAGTGAAGCACCCTTTGCGTACACCTGCTGAATCCACGCAAATGCTTCATCAGGGTGATCAGATGCTGCTCGAACAGCCTCACGCACTGCCGTCTTCCACGATCTGTACGTCTCCGCTGAGGGAAAATCCGGAAGTTTCACTGTCTCGGCTTCCTTAGTCTTAGGTTTCGTCTCATCCTTGGTAGCAAAGTCCTTGAGCGCTTTTGCGATCGCTTCATGCACTTCATTAGGGGCCTGCGAAACAGGAGTAGATGCCCCCAGATTAAACCTCTGGGGTCGTCTCTCAAAGAGACCCTTCATGCTCTCTGGAATCTGCAACGGATTTGGCAAATCAGCATGCGTGACATGTGCATTACCGCATGCGGCACCCCCTTGCGGGGGGCTTGCTTCGGCAGTGTTCAAACCCGGTGGAGGTGCTGAGGCCATGGGAACAGCCTGCTGGTGCTCGGCACCACCTTTCGGCAGGCTAGATGACGCTGTAGCGGTTGCCTTAGCCTCATCAAGTTCAACCATCAAACGCTGGTTCGACTCAGCCAACTCCTGAATCAAGACATCACATGCACTCTCTTCTTCATGCATGGCATATGTGAACATGTTCTCTTCATACTGCATTTGCTCTCTAAATTCGTTGCCTAAGAATTCCAGCTGGGTTTCCCTGTTTTGATCGTACACAACCCTGAGGTTAGCAAGGGAAAATTCACTCTGTTCGAGGTGGGTCCTGAGGCGAGTTTCCGATTCGAGAACCATGTTACCTCGTGCCTCAAGCTCGAGATTGTGCATCCTGAGTGTGTGTGCGTCCTGTGCGGCTTGGTCAAGCTCCGCCGTTCGACCTCTTAGTGCTGCCTTGGTCTCCAGTAGTTGTTGTTGTAGCTCACGAACCACAAAGTCCATGCGGTCACTGATGACTTCAATCCGTGCACGATGTTGGGCATCAGCGTGTTGCTCGAGTTCTCCCATTTCTGCACGGGCCTGTCTTGTAGCCATGTCCAGGATTTCCGCATGTCTGCGTTCGGCTTCGATACGAACTCGCTCTGCATCCTCGTTTTGTTGCACGATGATCAGCTGCTGCTGTACCCGGTATTGGTTGAACTGTTGGTAGTTGGTTGTTGCAGTCTGATCATGTTGCGCATTGGGATCAATGGTCCCATCTTGCAGCTGCAGAGCCATCGTGTGAGACTCTACGGCTGATAACCTGAAGTTTTCAGGTCAGCACATGAGGGAACATATAAACCGTTAAGTACGCCTCTTTTTATCGGCAACTTGAGCCACAGTCGAGGGTAAAGCGATGGTATGCACAGCTCGCAAAAGGAGTGTAATTCCTCCATGAAAAACTACACATCCTGGAGCCCTGTAAACCTAACCTTACACCCCTAAAAACCCTCAGCCATGAGCCCTGAACGAACAAAGCCCAAAAGAGTCCATGTACGTAAATAGGGCTTTATGCTTAGGGTTTAGGGTTTAGGGTTTAGAGTTTAGGCTTTAGGGTTTAGGGTTTCGGGGAAAGTGCTTCCTATGTAATTAGGGATTCTTGGGGCCCAAGTATAAAATAATGAGGTACATGGACCCTGAGGGCGCTAAAGCTTCCACCTTGCCTGGATACCCTGGATACCCCCCCCCCTCCCCCCTTTGAGAAGAGCTTAAGTGTAACTTACAGGGGCGAGGGGGGGGGGGGGGTATCTAAACCCTAAACCCTAAACCCTAAACCCTAAACCCTAAACCCTAAACCCTAAACCCTAAACCCTAAACCCCATACAAAAGAGCCCATGGGCCAGGATACGCAGGTCCACGGCAGCATCTGGCAGAAGTCTCAGAGCTCATGCTTGGCCTCTTCAGAGTGGGGTTTGGGGCTGAGGGTTTCAACCCTATGAACCATATGAACACTCTGAAGCCTATAAACCCTGTGAACCCTATGAGCCCTATGAACCCTGTGAACCCTGAACCCAGGAGTTGAGTTTTTTAGGGTTTAGGATATAGGGGTGGGGGTATCTGGGGATGTTGGAACCCAAGGTCCCCATCTCCGTGTTCAGAAGGCATCCTAGTACATAGAGATACCTAGTTAAGGGTTTAGGATTCAGGGTTTGGGGTTTGAGGCTTTAGGGTTTTAGGGTTTTGAGTTTTTGGGTTTTCGCGTTTCGGGTTGCAGGGTGTCAGGGATTTACAGACGGGTGGATTGCGTTCTGACGACTCTGACAGGGACTGTCAGAGGATACTCTTGGTAGTTGCTTAGCTTGGTAGCCCAGCAACCATCTTATAGTAAGGGTACCCTTCTTTTGGTTCCCTAAGGGTCCATGGACCCTTAGGGGTTGGGTACTTTTTAAGGGAACCCAGGGCCAAAAAAAGGGTAAGGGGTACCACTGGGGTTCACTTTAGGTTCCCTTTCATTGCTTGCAAGGGAGAAGCCTAGTGGTTTAGGGTTTAGGGTTTAGGGTTTAGGGTTTAGGGTTTAGGGTTTAGGGTTTAGGGTGCACGCAAGTAGGGATCAGTGTTGAGGGCGATGAGGGGCCGAGGAGGATTAGGATGAAAGGCTTCGGGCTTAGGTCGGGGAGTGTGCTTACCCTTCTGCACGCTCTCGCTCAACTTTCTTGATGTTGGTGATATAGTCCGTACTGACGGCTTTCATGATGGTCTTCTGGTTGGGATTATCCTTCAACATTTTGATGTCCTTCTTGGTTTCGCCAAGCTTCGTGGAAAGACTGCTCACTGCATCGATGAGCTGTTGCGCCGTTGCATTGTCAATCTCGTCAAAGCCGAGCTCCAAAGACTGGATGATGTTCTTACGCTCATCGTTCGGGCTCTCATTTGAGCTCTAAGGAGAGTCTTCATCCCTTGGTCAGAAGCATCCTCAAGGTACCCCCTTCGGCGCCTTGAAAAAGCACCCCGAGATGGTCGTGGCGTCATGGGTACACACAGGAAACACTTCCACTCTCTAGGCGAGTCCTCCTGCCCTAAACCCTAAACCCTAAACCCTTTAAAAGCCGGTGCTTCGGATAAACCGCTTCCAAACTCCACAAGCAAAAAGCGCTCAGAGCCTCCTAGACCCTAAACCCTAAACCCTAAACCCTGAACCCTAAACCCTAAACCCTGAACCCTAAACCCTAGATCAACCCCAAACCCTAAACCCTGAACCCGAAACCCGAAACCCCAAACCCCAAACCCGAAACACCAAACCCTAAACCCGAAACCCTAAACCCTAAACCGGCGGAGCCTCCTTCCAGCGGTAGGGGTTTAGCCGCTTTAGGCCACCGTCGCTATCGCCGGCCTCGGGCTTCTCAGGGTTTAGGGTTTAGGGTTTAGGGTTTAGGGTTTAGGGTTTAGGGTTTAGGGTTTAGGGTTTAGGTTTACGTAAGTTTCAAAAGCAGGACTCTTGCGCACCAACTTTATTTGGCATGATCCCAAGTTTAGGGTTTGGTGTGTTTGCGACTTAGGGTTTAGGGTTTGGGGTCATGCTCCTCATGATTCTAGAGGCTTCAAGTACTTTTGCGCGTTGCTTGAAGCACCACGGGGAAAGGTGCAAGCTTTATGCAAGGCAGCCTACACCATGCGTTTGTGCATAATATATTGTATATATACACACATACATACACACATACACAGAGTCATTTATTTAGATTACATGGTTAAGAGGTTACATTTCACCACTTAGTTCCTTCAGGAATTAACCACCTACATTCATGAAGTGTCATTTGCTGAAGCTAAAGTTCTGAGAACACTGCTTGTAACCACCCATGCCCATTCAAGTGGGCTTTAAGGGAAGGATGCCGGACTTTGGGTAGGAGAGATTTCTTTGTTGCAGGGGTGAATAAACTATATTTCTCGCAAGCGGCTGCTTCCAAGAGCGCAATGAGCGCATCAACACGGGTGCGAAGAATTAGCATACAAGTCCGCCACGAGCAGCTTTCCATAACTGCACTAAAATTGTGGACCCTCCGGAAAGGGTGGTATACACATCCCCTCACTAACTGCCAACCCAAAACCTTGAAATGCATAGAGGCAGAGCCCAGACTCTCCTACAAGCCCTCAAAATGCTTCAAAGATTTGGTGATACAGGGTTTCGGGTTAGGTTCTGAAAACCTAAACCCTAAAACCTAAACCCTAAACCCTAAACCCTAAACCCTAAACCCTAAACCCTAAACCCTAAACCCTAAACAAACCTTGCGAAATCCGCTGGGCAATGCGGCCAGACGCCAGGAGGATCGAACTCGCCCTGGCCTGAAAGTAACTCCCAAAAAGGTCCATCAAGGGATGTATATGGAGAATGGAATTGTTTTCAAGGGACACTCAAAAAGGGTACCCCTATTTCGGAAACCCCCATATGGTTCGGGCTTAGAGGCTGGGACTTTAGAGTTTGGGGTGTATAGGGTGTTCACAGGGTTTGCTCTAGGGTTGAGGGCAGGCGCAAGGCATCGTCAGCGCAGGCCGGTTTAGGGCTATGTCGCAAGCAGCACCTGCTATTTAAGGACCCCAGAAAAATAAAAGAAAATAATCCTTACATTACCTTTTTCGGGAAGAATATCTTTATTATTTGGGGAGTGCTTAAGCAAATAGTAGGAATCTAGCAGAAGAAGCCCAGCCGTCTGCTTCGTGACTTGGACGAAAAGGGCTTGGTTTTCCAAGCCTAAAGCCAAAAGCCCCGTAAACGCTGTCATGTCGCAACATGAGATACATACTTCCAGGGAGCTAGTTGATTTTTTGCGCCTTTAAGGGTTCTAGTAAGCAGAATGGGCCTCGCCCACACACATTGCCTGGTCGCCTCACGAATGGTAGACACTGTGCCGCTGGCAACAGGTTCCCCTCACGTGCACACGCCAACTCTTGCACGCATGGCCGTCTTGATGCCATGTAAAGACGGGTTTCGCATGTTAAGCAACAGTCGCACTGCAAATCATTCAGTTGCTTTGAAGAATGTTAGCGGCAAGGGGAAGTGTTATGTCCTTCTGTCTAAACCTTCTCCAAGAAACAAGCGTTCCATTGATCTTCAATGAAAGGGAACGAGATTTTTTAATAAGAAAGCAGGTTCATCACCGTGGCAAGTGAATGCAGATATGCGAAGTACCAGAAGTGAAGGATGAAACAAACAGACATGCAAACACACAGCTCACATTGGGGCCCTTCCACAGACGTATATTGGTTGTGATACCTGCATGGGTTTAACGATTCCGTCCCCTCCGTGCGTGAGTGTTGGGGGGGAGGGGGGGGGGGGGGGTATCGGTCTTGGTACTGTACTTCTGGGTTCATAAAGATCGCATGCTCAGCTCATAAGTCATAAGCTATAGAGCATTTGAGAAAAGTGTATTGATGTATAGTAACAGCCAATATCCAAGACCATTGACTGAATCATTCAAAGGAGATTACACACTATGTAAGACTGCATATGTAACCATATGGGGGTTCCGAAATTAGGGGTACCTTCTTGGGGTCCTTGTTAAAAGGGATCCTGCTATTTTGGGGTCAAATAGGGGTCTCCCCATGTTCGAAAGCCCCATGTGTCTTGCAAGGGCACCTAAATCGAAATGGCACGACTCGGCACGACAGGGGCCACTGAAACCTTACAGGGAGTACTTGGAAGTTCAAATACCCTAAACCCATGATAGGGAGTACTTCGAAAGCTCAAGTACACCTCTTATCCTAAACCCCTAAACCCCTACACCCCTAAACCCCTAAACCCTGAACTCCTAAACCCCTAAACCCCTAAACCCCTAAACCCTTAAACCCCTAAACCCCTAAACCCCTAAACCCCTAAACCCCTAAACCCCTAAACCCCTAAACCCCTAAACCCCTAAACCCTTAAACCCTTAAACCCTTAAACCCTTATACCCTTAAACCCTTATACCCTTAAACCCTTAAACCCTTAAACCCTTAAACCCTTAAACCCTTAAACCCTTAAACCCTTAAACCCTTAAACCCTTAAACCCTTACCCCTAAACCCTCTCGTTGCGAAGAGCAAGCCAAGCCCCACGCACGCCGCTACCTCGAGCATGAAGCCTCAGACACGTGGCCAAGAGACCCTAAACCCTAAACCCTAAACCCTAAACCCTAAACCCTAAACCCTAAACCCTAAACCCTAAACCCTAAACCCTAAACCTATTCCCTCAACCCTCATTAAGGGCTTGGGCTCATGGTGGGCTCAAGCAGGGCTCAAGTTCTTAGTTTACTCTCGGGCCTGCAAAGGGGAACCCTAAACCCTAAACCCTAAACCCTAAACCCTAAACCCTAAACCCTAAACCCTAAACCCTAAACCGTCAACAAATGGAAGTAGTCGTCCTCGGAAGGGCAATGGAGGTTTAGGGTTTTGGGTTTTTGGTTTTAATCTTCTTCCCCATAAGTGCAACAGAGGGAGTATTCTTCTTGACTTTCGGCGTGGTTCGTAAGCAGAGAGTTTAGGGTTTAGGGTTTAGGGCTTAGGGTTTAGGGTTGAGGGTTTAGGGTTTAGGGTTTAGGGTTTAGGGTTCTAGTGGCTGCATTTCATAGGCCCCCGCAGCTGGGGGGGGGGGGGGGGGATGTCATGGGGTAGTACAGGGGCCTATCTTCACCCCAAACCCTGAATCCTGAACCCTAAGCCCTAAACCCTATTTATGCTGAAACCAGAGAGGGTTTGCAAGGGAGATGCTTGCTTGCAATCTCGGTGCCTGCAGAAACCCAGAACCCTGAACCCCAGACACCAAACCCTAAACCCTCTTCTACTATTTGCTTAAGAACCCCCCCCCCAAAAAAAAAAATAGACGATAGTAGGAAGAATATTTGTTTTTTTTTTTGGAGGGGGGGGGGTTCTTAAGCAAATAGTAGGCTTGGCCAGACGACGCGCTGGTGTCCGCCAGAACCAGCGTGCGGCGCACCCCAGGCAACGGGAGCACGGGCAGTGCGGCAGCCGCTGCCTGCCACAGAGGCCAGGGCTTTAGGGTTTAGGGTTTATTTAGGGTGTAGGATTTGAGGGGCTTTGAAAAGCTTTTGGGGGCCTTAGGGCCTTTAGGGTTTAGGGTTTAAGGAATTTAGGGCCTGCCGGCGAGGCCGGTTTGTGAGGTTTCAAGGTTTGAGGGCTTTTCTCGGGGCTTCTATATAGGGGCTTTTCAGGGTCTAGGGGCGGTTCAGGGCCTTGGGGGTTTTAGGTTTTTAGGTGCTTAGGTTTTTCTTGTTTTTTTTTGGAGGGGGGAGGGGGTTAGGGCTCGGGGTTTGGAATGTGTGGGGTCTGGTCTTGCGACAGTCTTTGTGTTAACGAATGCTGTGCCCGCAGCGGGTTCTGTCTACATCCTAAAAAGTCTTTTGTCTAGGGTTAAGTGTTTAGGGTTGCTGGAGGGCGTGCACAACCAGGTCAGGGCAGCACTCTTGTGCCCTGAATGTGAGCCCTGATCCCAGCCCTGAGCCCTCTTCCTACCTCAAGACCCCACACGCCAGGGTTTAGGGTTTGCGGTTTGCGGTTTGGGTGTAAACCCGCCAGTGTGACCCTGAACCCCGAAAACTCATGAACTGAGCCCCGCAACCCTACAACCTCATCCCTAAACCCCTAACCTCTAAACCTTAAACCCTAAACCCTATCCCTAAACCCCTAAAAGCAACAGCCTCCAGCATCGCGTGGCCTTGCACGGCCTCAATAAAGTCAGGCGCGGCTTCGCGAGCTGCTGCCTCAAGTGCTACGAGCCCCAAGCAGATAAGAACATTCTTCCTTATAAGGGTAATATGGGGGATTACTACTTTGTGTCTTTTGGGGGTTCTTCAGCAAATAGTAGAGTGGGGCTTCTCGGAGCTTGGGGGGACTTCGAAGCTTTCGGGGTTTGAGGTTTGAAGGCTTGAAGGTCTAGGGGGCGCTAAGGTTTTGGGGGCTTCAAGGGCCTTAAGGGTTTTGGGGGGGTTCGAGGATTTAAGGCTTTGTGTGGAGGGTGTGAAGGCTTTAAGGTTTTAAGGTTTTCAGGGCTTTCAGGTTGTAAGGCTTCTGGACCCAGGAGTAGCCCAGGAATGCAAAGGGCGCCTGAGGGGCGCAGGAGGGAACCTCAACCCTAAAACAAGGGAATGAAGGCCTACTCTGGGTCATAGGCTTTAAGGTGTTGGGTCCAGGGTTTAAAGGCCCTAAACCCTAAACCCTAAACCCTAAACCCTAAACCCTAAACCCTAAACCCTAAACCCTAAATAAGGTTTTAAGGTTTAGGGTTCAGGGCTGAGGCTTGGACACTCGAGGCTTCAAGGGTCTGACAACGACACCGGCTGTGTGAGCACCGGACGCAGCCGCGAAGGCGAAAAGAGGGCTCTGCCCGTGCCTGACCGCCGGGCGGTTTAGGGTTGAGGGTTGAGGGTTTAGGGTTTAGGGTTTAGGAGGGCTGGCTAAGACAGAGACAGCGACGGTGCTTAGGATTTGCAGTCCCAGAAAAAGCCTCGACTCAACCCCCCCTAAAAGAGGGGCCTTAATCATAAGAACATGGTTTTTCGGGGCTATTATAGTATATCAATACAGGAACCATAAGGGAATATCATTAGTCATTATTCCGACCCTTTACACCCTGAGCCTTGTGCGGGCGGCCCTGTGAGGCAAACGTGGCTCGACAACTCACAGAAGCCCATCAAAGAGGGCATGTACTCTACTCAATCCTAAACCCTAAACCCTAAACCCTAAACCCCAAACCCTAAACCCTGAACCCTAAACCCTAAACCCTAAACCCTAAACCCTAAACCCTAAACCCTAAACCCTAAACCCTAAACCCTAAACCCTAAACCCTAAACCCTAAACCCGAATCGTTTCAGGGTTTAGGGTCTACGTAGGGTTTATAGGGTTTCGGCTGCAGCAGCTCGCAGGAGACGCCAGGGTCCAGCTTTAGACAAGTCATTTTTTAAAGTGCCTGTTTCCCCCTATACTAGCAGTCCTTAGAAAGGCTTTTCATAGGGGTACTATAATCCCTACGAAGGACTGTTAGTATAAGGCGGAACAGCCCAAGGCCTCTACTTCAGAAGAATCCCCACCGCTTAATCCCAAAGCCCTAAAGCCTGAACCCTAAACCCTAAATGAGGCCTTTCTACGTTGCTTGGAGAGGGATCGCTCGCCAAGGGAGTTGGGGAGTAGGAGTCGCATTCTCCTTCTTTGAAGGAGATGCCTGAGAAGCCGAGGGGTTTCGGGGACGTAGGTTAGGATGTTCCCCCTGATACTAACAGTCCTTAATCGGGATTCTAGTACTCCCCCGATTAGAATCCCTATGAAGGACTGCTAGTATAGGGGGAAAACTTTTCAAGATGTAGGGTTTAGGGCTTCAGGGTTGAGGGTTTAGGGTTTAGGGCTTACGGTTTACGGCTACAAGGTTTAGTGTTCAGGGTGTAGGGCTTTGGACCTCAAGGGGCATGACGCCTCGCTCGCCGGCTCCTGCGCGTAGGCGTGCATCCATCGCAGCTTGGCCTTCGCAATGAAGAGGAACTTTTTCCATGGCAAAGGCTACCTACTCTTGGCTGCACTTAGTAAGACTTAGTAGGGTAGCTAGAAGTTAACTTTTGAGCTGCCTTAATGAGAAACCCAAGAAAACCCAAAAAGGCGAAGGATCTAAAAACACAGTAAAGAAACGCAAAGTACCCAAACCGCTAAGATCAGTGTCTCCCGTGCCCTAAGACACGAAGAACATCAGAGTTTAGGGTTTAGGGTTCAGGGTTTAGGGTTTGGTAAAGAAGCCCAAACGTATAGGCTACCCGCAGGCCTAGCCGTAGGGCCTACGGCTGGCTACGCGTAGGCCTGTCGGTAGATTCTACGGCAGCCTACGCGTAGGTCTGTCCGTGGGCCCTCGCGTGGCCTACCCGTAGGCCTATCAGAGGGCCACGGGTAGCCTACCCGTAGGCCTACCCGGAGGCCTACGGGTAGGCTGCCGGCAGGCCTATCCGTAGGCCTACGGGTAGGCTACCCGCAGGCCTATGGGTAGGCTACCGGTAGGCCTACCCGTAGGCCTACGGGTAGGCTACCGGTAGGCCTACCCGTAGGCCTATGGGTAGGCTACCCGCAGGCCTGCCCGCAGGCCTATGGGTAGGCTACCCGTAGGCCTACGGGTAGGCTACCGGCAGGCCTGCCCACAAACCTACGGGCAGGCAACCGGCAGCCCGACCCGCAGGCCTTTACGTAGTCGAAGCATAGTAGCAGTGATGATCTCGGGGCTGGGGCTCGGGCACACAAAGAAGAGGTTAACAGTTTGCGCGTGCGTGATTTCTGTCACGGATGCACATGATGTTTCGGGTCGAGAATCTAGGAAGCAGTTTAACGGGTGCTTTCGTAGTTTCTCGAGTCAAGGGCTCGGTCCAAAGCATCGGGCGTTTTGTAGTTTACTACTACTACTACTACTACTACTACTACTACTACTACTACGACGACGACGACTACTAGTACTACTACTACTACTACTACTACTACTACTACTACTACTACTACTACTACTACTACTACTACTACTACTACTACTACTACTACTACTACTACTCTACTACTACTCTACGACTACTATACTACTAATACTACTACTACTACTACTACTGCTGCTACTACTACTACTACTACCACTACTACTACTACTACTACTACTACTACTACTACTACTACTACTACTACTACTACTACTACTACTACTACTACTACTACTACTAGGAGTAGTAGTACCCTCCACTGTGAGCCCAAAAGGTCTTACCCTTAAACCCTAAACCCCAAATCCCAAAAAACCTCAAAAGGTCTCTACCCTCAAGCCCCAAACCCTAAACCCTCCACTGTAAGCCCAAAATGTCTTGCCCTGAAACCCTAAACCCCAGATGCCAAAAAAAACCACAAGATCTGTAGGCTGAAACCTCAAACCCCATATTTCCACTGGAAGCCCAAAAGGTTCCCAAAAAAGCCGAAAAGATCTGTACCTGCAAACCCTAAACCCTCCACTGTGAGCCCAAAAGATCTTGCCCCTAAACCAACCAAAAAAACAGAGGAAAACAGTAGACAGCGTGGCATGTGTGCACAAAGCACAGCACGTAATTACCCCCCCACCCCCCCCCAAAAAAACCCCTCAGCATGGTCATGTGTGCACAAAGCACAGCACGTAATTACCCCCCCCCCACCCACCCCCCCCACCCCCCCCAACCCGTCAAACGCAGAAAAAACCAGAGAAAACGATAGAAAAAGTCAAAAAACAGCAGAAAACACCATGATCAGTTAAGAGCGTGTCACCTACTACTACTACTACTACTACTACTACTACTACTACTACTACTACTACTACTACTACTACTACTACTACTACTACTACTTACTACTACTACTACTACTACTACTACTACTACTACTACTACTACTACTACTACTACTACTACTACTACTAGTACTACTACTACTACTACTACTACTACTACTACTACTACTACTACTACTACTACTACTACTACTACTACTACTACTACTAGTACTACTAGTACTACTAGTACTACTAGTACTACTAGTACTACTAGTACTACTAGTACTACTAGTACTACTAGTACTACTAGTACTACTACTACTACTACTACTACTACTACTACTACTACTACTACTACTACTACTACTACTACTGCTACTGCTACTGCTACTGCTACTGCTGCTGCTACTTCTACTACTCTTACTTCAAGTAAGAGTAGTAGAAGTAGCAGTAGTAGTAGTAGTAGTAATAATAAGTAGTAGTAGTGGTACGTAGTAGTGGTCCGTAGTCAGCCTACCCGTAGGCCTGTGGGTAGGCCTGCCGGTAGCCTATCTGTAGGCCTGTGGGTAGGCCTGCCGGTAGCCCACCTATAGCCCTACGGGTAGGCCTGCCTGCAGCCTGTCCGTAGGCCTACGGGTAGGCCTACCGGTAGCCTAACCATAGGCCTACGGGGAGGCCTGCCTGTAGCCTACCCGTAGGCCTACGGGTAGGCCTACTGGGAGCCTACCCGTAGGCCTACGGGTAGGCCTGCCTGTAGCCTACCCGTAGGCCTACGGGTAGGCCTACCGGCAGCCTACCCGCAGGCCTACGGATAGGCCTATAAGTAGCCTCGCGTAGCCCCTACGTAGGCCTGTACACAGGCTACCCGTAGGCCTAGGGTAGACCTACCCATAGGTCCGACGTAGCCTCAGTTTCGGGCTTCTGTATGTAGGGTTTAGGGTTTAGGGCTTGGGGTTTTGGGGTATGCAGGTACTGAAGCAGTGAATACTTGGGCCCCAAAAAGCCACTACCAAGGATCTACGTTAGAGCCCTCAGAGCTACCTCAGAGCCCGGCCTCAGAGCCCTCAACCCACAGGGTTTAGGGTTTAGGGTTTAGGGTTTAGGGTTTAGGGTTTAGGGTTTAGGGTTTAGGGTTTATAAACCCTAAGCCCCTTTTAGGAACGTACGGACCCTGGCGAGGTCCTGCCTCCGAGTTCCGGTGGCTTCGCCGCGCAAACAGCAGCGGCCCCTCGTTGCGGGCAGCGGGGGGGGGACGAGTTGATTGGAGCTCCCTCTTGAACTGAAGATCTTTTGGGTTTAAGGGTTTAGGGTTTAGGGGCTTAGGATTGGGACGTCCCCCCTGATACTAACAGTCCTTAATAGGGATGATAGTACCCCCTAGTATTTTTATCCCGGTTAAGGACTGTTAGTATAGGGGAATATCCCAAGCCGAAACCCTAAACCGTAAACCCCCCTCCCTTAAGGACCCTGTGTCAAGCTGCTTGCGCAGTTCTGGTCTAGGGAGGAGACGCCAGGAGCCCTGTGGGCTTGGGGGGTTTGGGTGGGGGTTCGGGGGTTTAGGGCTCGGGGTTTAGGGCTTGGGGCTGTAGGGTTTGGGGTTTAGGGGGGGTTTGGGCATGAGAGTGTACGACCTACTCAAGCCCTAAACCCTACTAAACCCTACTAAACCCGAATATACCCTAACACACCCTAAACCCTGAACCCTATAAGCTATGCCCTGCAAGTTCCGAATAACCTCAGCACCAGCCCAAAACTCCGTTTAGGCTTTGGGGTTTAGTGATTTAGAGCTTATCTCATCAGGGCATTTGCTACAACAGAAGGGGAGGAGGGCGACGGGCATTCCTACCCCGAATTCGGTATCAAATATGGTCCCTTCTCTAAACTAGGGTCCGTTTTGGCAAATGGGGTTAGTATTGCAAGGCTGTTCCCCCTGGCAGGCCGTGCGCGTGCCTCAGAGCGAGTGTGTGCTACAAGGCGGCCACTATCATGTTAGTCGGTACCCAGAAACGGACCATAGCTTAATCTTAGTTGCTGAGTTCGTAAGCCCCCAAAGAGTGCACACTCTCAGCTCTATGGGGGATCATAGTATCCCAAAAAATGTAAAGTGTGCTCGCTCAGCTACTAAGATTGAGAGAACTGACCATATAATTCAGACCCCAAGCCTCGTCCACGCTCACGCCGGGGGGGTTTTGGAAGACCCAGACCTGCTCCCACCAGGCTTAAGTGAGGGTTTAGGGTTTAGGGTTTGGGGTTTAGGGTTTAGGGTTTGGGGTTTCGGGTTTAGGGTGCTGGGGAGACTGGCAGATGCATCTGCACGTAGATGCTGAAGTGATGCGTTCAAGCTTCAGATGCAAGAGATTTGGGGGGGGCATGGCCCGTGGGCGTCTGGCAGTCTGCTGCTTTGCTGCTATGAAATCCTGCCATTGCCCCAGCCTACCCGGAGTAAGGCCCACTAGGCATCACTTGCGTGGAACAAGAAGGGCCCTTAGCCCCAAACCCTTAGCCCTAAACCCTAAACCCTAAACCCTAAACCCTCAACCCTGGCCTTTACAATCGGCGCGAAGGTGTCGATGTGCAGCTGGCTCTGCTGGTCAGGATTCTCCTCACGCTCGTTTACTTACTGGCTCTGAGTAGGGTTTAGGGTTTAGGGGTTAGAGGGTTTAGGGTTTAGGGTTTAGGGTTTAGGGTTTAGGGTTTAGGGTTTAGGGTTTAGGGTTTAGGGTTTAGGGTTTAGGGATGAAGAAATAAGCCTTGTAATTATCCCTCTATATATACTCTCTACGGGATTCTCTATAGGGTACCTGATGCTTTCCTCTTGGCAGTATCTTATAATAAGGGCACCCTTCTTTGGGTTGGCTACTTGATAAAGGGAGCCCAGAACCAAAATGAAGGGTGAAGGGTACCACTGGGCTACAGTACCCTAAACCTTAAACCCTAAACCCTAAACCTTAATCCCTAAACCGGGGACCTGGTTCTTTCCTTCCCTGCTAAGAACCAGTAAGTTGAGGGTTTAGGGTTTCCCTTGGCGCAGGGTCAAGCGCAAAGCCCGCTCCAGTGCGCCATACATGCCAGGGTAGAGTTCAGGGTTTAGGGTCTAGGGTTTAGGGTTTAGGGCTGCAACGACACATGAAGGGACTCTGCTACTGTGGTTGAGGCCTCAGGTATGCACCTACTCTGATTCTCGTAACATCATGATCCGGATATCTGGCTAACGGTTGCGGAGGGTTGAGAGAAAGAGCCCGATTCCTGTATGCTGTCGCGGTAAGATTTCCGACAATTGGTTTCACGAATGTGCCTTGGCCCTAAACCCTGAACCCTAAACCCTAAGCCCTAAACCCTGCGCAAGGATGCTCGTGCCACTGGCAGGCTGCAGGGCCCAGCTGTAAACCTACTTGGAGGTTCATGGTACTTAGTAACCAATGAGAACTGTAGTTATAACCCATCTATCAGCCCTTTAAGTGCCCTAATATGATTAGAAGTACAGTTCGAAGTACAGTTACAATTGGTTTTAATAAGTACCATGAACCTCCAAGTATGCGCATCTACAACCTGTACCCTGAGCCTGAGACCCTGAACCGGTGTTCCTGAACCAATAGCCCATAGCATTGCGGGTCCTGGACAGTGACATTCCTTAGATCCCGCATGGACTGAAAAGACGAATTTTCAGCAGCCCGACATCCCAAGCCCTAACTGCATATGGAACCCAAGCTGATTTCAGGAACTTCCTTTTGTAAGAGGAAGTGCACCCTCAACCCTAAACCCTCAATCTGCATCTCGGAGAGGGCAGACTCATGGGTGAGAGGGGCTTTGGGGTACGGAAGTTTAGGCTGAAGTGGCAGGGGAGCGGCCTGCCCCTAAGGGTCCATGTACCTCATTCTTTTAGACTTGGGCCCCCAAAGTCAGGAAGTACTTGTGTGTACCTAAAAAAAGTCAGGAAGTACTTGTGTGTACCTAAAGGCCCAAGTATTCACGGTTTAGGTGCATGGGTTCGTAGGGTGCCATTTTACCTACTAAGCTGTTTGAAAGCTGAACCCTTTCCCTGGGTGGCTAGACCAGGGTGGCTAGACCCAGAAGTAACCTAGGAATAAAAAGGTTGTTTTAAGGAAATTATGAGGGAACCCCAGCCCTCAAAAAGAAAATAAGGGCCTACTCTAGGTGGACTCGAACGGCTCATCATGGTCCATGATCTACTTACACGGGGATGTAGGATTTCGGGCTTAGGGTCGTGTATCTGACCCCAAATAGTTTAGGGTTTAGGGTTTGGGGTTTAGGGTTTAGAGTTCAGGGTTTAGGGCCTTAGGGCTTAGGCCTGGGACAGCTCTGAGCCCGAAAGTCTAAATCCCAAGCCTTAAATTTAAACTCTTAAGCCCTAAATCCTAAACCGATGCGTACAGGTTCTAGCCTTTAGTTTCAGGGTTCAGAACTCCATCTTTTGCAACAAATTCTTCGAAGGGGCTGGACCGACGTCTGGCCTACATCTTTCCCACAGATCTTGAAGCATATCAGCCCCTCATGCGGACTTCACCAGGGCTTATAGGGGGTTTAGGGTTTAGGGTCTTTAGGGTGTAGGGTTTAGGGGTCAGCCCCTCATGCGGACTTCACCAGGGCTTATAGGGGGTTTAGGGTTTAGGGTCTTTAGGGTGTAGGGTTTAGGGGTTTAAGGGTTTAAGGTTAAGTACTACCCAAGCAACCAACCCCCCAAAGGCCGTGGGATTACTACTCGGAGTCCACCCCTCTCCCCCGAAAGGGGGGCTTTCGGGTTTAGGGTGCGCTTCGTCCCTGATACCTTCTGTAAGCCCCGCCGATACTGCAAACTAGATGCGCCAGAGTGTGTGGATACGTGCTATGGGTACTCAGATGGGCGGGACAACCAGGCAGACCCCGCAGCCTAAACACGACGCCCTGCACCCCAAAGTGGGCCAGTCACTAAGGCATCGCGCGGCGAAGATCCCTCCAGCACATTGCGCGCAACTCTGATCGGTGGCCGCTCTCACGGTGAATCCGGAACCCTGGGCCCTAAACCCTAATTCATTCGTAAACCCTCAGACCCTTATCCCAAACCCTAAACCCTCTCTGCAATCTCCACAAGATTTCCTGTTGAAAAAGGCCCTCAGGGATGACTTCCTCTTGTACAGCGTTGTGGGTGCAGTCTCGGTGAAGGTGTCACTCTGCGTCGCGGCAATTCTGGCTTCGTTGCCATAAGTCAGACGCCAACCCGTAGAGGACCTTCCCCAGCTTTGTCGCCGATAATTTGGCTTTCGATCATCAGACGAAGGGGATTGATTGAGCCCTGAGGTGATGTGGGCTAAGGGTTTAGGGAACCCTAAACCCTATGTACCCTATGTACCCTATGTACCCTATGTACCCTATGTACCCTATGTACCCTATGTACCCTATGTACCCTATGTACCCTATGTACCCTATGTACCCTATGTACCCTAAACCCTAAACCCTTCGAGGCTTGCGGGTGTCGGTCCGGAAGCCCAACCCCAAACCCTCAAAACTCTTGCTGCGTCCCAAGGTACCGCGCCTGCCACCGAAGAGGCAACTCGGGTATTCCCTCGGACTCCTGAAGGGATAGAGGGCCTACTTGGCCTGAGGGTTTAGGGTTTAGGGTTTAGGGCTAGACAGGGGCTTAGGGTTTAGGGTTTGGGGCTTAGGGTTTAGGGCTTAGGGTTTAGGGTTCAGGGTGTATTGCTTAGGGTGTAGAAGGGGGGAGAAGGGTGGGGGGTTTAGGGCTTTGAGAAATTTGGTGAGGCCTCCGAAGGGCTCTTAGGTTGAAGCTTTTGATGTTGTGAGCGAGGGGGCTTCTGTTTCTAATTTCGTTACCCTCAACCCTAAACCCTAAACCCTAAACCCTAAACCCTAAACCCTAAGCCCTAAGCCCTAAGCCCTAAACCCTAAACCCAAACCCTAAACCCTAAGTAGCCGCTCCGTTATCCACAGGTGCAACCTTTCAGTCTTTGTTGGGCTTGGGGAGGTTCATTTGCTTTCGAACTGGACTTTTCCTGTGCTGAGGGTCAAAGAACCCCGTAAGACACGCCATAAACATTCAAGCCTGAATCCAAAAAACAGGTTGGCCCTTTGAAAACCCTCTGACAAGATGTCCCTGATTTTCATAGTCCTAAGCCCAATAATAAGGGTAACTATCTGTAAATATATTCCCAAAGGGCTAAACCCTAAACCCCAACCCGAAGCCCTGAGATCTTCCCAAACACACCCTAAACCCTAAACCGTAAGCCGTAAACCCTAAACCATAAACCCTAAACCCTAAACCCTAAACCCCAAACCCTAAACCTCGCAAATGTCAAACACAGTATGTCAGCGCGTAGTAAGTGGATCCCAATACCTTCAGCCCCCTTTCTCAACATCCGGCCCCTAACCCTAAATCCTAAACCCTAAACCCTAAACCCTAAACCCTAAACCCTAAACCCTAAACCGTCACATCTTCCAAGCTTCCGGCTGTAGACAGCCCCTCCCAGTTCATGTAGGGTTTAGGTCTATAGGTTTAGAGGGTTCTAGGGTTAAGTGCTTAGTGTTTAGGGTGATAGGTTTTTGGGGTTGTAGGGTTATAGTGTTATAAAGCCTAAACCCTAAACCCTAAACCCTAAACCCTGAACCCTAAACCTAGAGTTTATCGGGTTGCGGGCTGAACCGCCACCCTGGCCGGCCCTGGCAGCTGGCAGTCCTCGCCGGAGGCCATGCGAAGCAACTGCTGCACACCCTGGTGAGACATCAAAGTAGTTTAGGGTTTAGGGTTTAGGGTTTGGGGTTTGGGGTTTAGGGTTTAGGGTTTGTAGGGTTTGTAGGGTTTATAGGGTTTATGGGGTTTATAGGGTTTATAGGGTTTATGGGGTTTATAGGGTTTATGGGGTTTATAGGGTTTATAGGTTTTATAGGGTTTATAGGGTTTATAGGGTTTATAGGGTTTATGGGGTTTATGGGGTTTATAGGGTTTATAGGGTTTATAGGGTTTATAGGTTTATAGGGTTTATAGGGTTTATGGGGTTTATAGGGTTTATAGGGTTTACAGGGTTTAGGGTTTATGGGGTTTGAGTTCAGGGTTCAGGGTTGGTTCCCTTTTTGGGTCCCTACATAGTGCGGCACCTGATACAAAGGACCCCCCAAAAGAGACCCTACTCCCCATACGGCTTGGCGACGACTATGTAGAGTCCCGGTCCGTCTGTAGTTTGGCCCTTTAGGCCTTCTGAGCAACTCTTCGTGAGCATAGTCCCAAAACCCTAAACCCTAAACCCTAAACCCTAAACCCTAAACCCTAAACCCTAAACCCTAAACCTAAACCCTGAACCCTAAACCCTAAACCCTAAACCCAAATAAGGGACAATATCCCAAGGCCTTACCCAGAGCCCACGCAGCATGTACCAACGGAAAAAGCACTGCTGCCTTCTCTCCTCCCAGCTTTGGATCGTCCAAGTCCTGTCAAGGGTTTAGGGTTTAGGGTTTAGGGTTTAGGGTTTAGGGTTTAGGGTTTAGGGCTTAGGGTTTAGGGTTTAGGGTGTTTATAGGGTGTTTATAGGGTGTTTGTAGGGTGTTTATAGGGTGGTTATAGGGTTTAGTTAGGGTTTAGGGTTTAGGGTTCAACCCAAATTCCCAAGTCAAGGCCCTTACTGGTGTCCAAGTACGAGAGCATGAGTGGTTCATGTAAATACCATATCATATACCCCTATTGCAGCGCAGGCTCTGTCCCCACTCCTGCTTAAGCACTTGTAAAGCGCAGGGTGTTTTTTGAGGGGTTTGGGATTACCTGGCATCGAAATTCGAAGGCTGTGTCATGGTCTAAGGTCGACTTGAGTGTCGGCTCTTTCGGGCGTAAGGGTTGTGGGCAGTGCTAGGGAATTTTGGGGCTGAGGGTTTTGAGTTCAGTGTTGGGCGATGAAAATATTCATCTCACATGGTATCAGGTAACTAACGGAGGGACCCTTGTAAGAGACCTTTGGGAGTATTCAGGGGCTACTTAGGTATAAACGGACTATATAAGGTGTTTCTATATACAAATGCATAATACATATATATATATATATGTACACATATACACCGGGGTTATATACGGGAATAAGACTAAGGCCCCCTTCTAGGGGTCCATCCTCGCTTTGAAGCCCCTTGGACTCGTAGGTAGACACTCAGCTAAACCCGAAACCCTAAACCCTAAACCCTAAACCCTAAACCTCGAGCTCCCACGAGCCCACGCCTTGAGTAGCAGGCCCTGGCGCGACCAGGTGTCATAGTCCGGATGCTTGTCGAAGCCTGTTGTCTTAGGGTGCAGGGTTCAGGGTTAGGGTTTAGGGTTTAGGGTTTGGGGTTTAGGGTTTGGGGTTTAGGGTTTGGGGTTTAGGGTTTGGGGTTTGGGGTTTAGGGTCTATGGTTTAGCGTTGCGGGTGTAGGGGTTTAGGGTCTATAGCTGCATGGTCCCTTAACATGGGGGTTTAGGGTCTAGGGGTTTAAGGTCTATAGTTGCATGGTCCCCCAAGACGGGGCTTTACGGTTTAGGGGTTTATGGTCTATAGTTGCATGGTCCCTCAAATATGGGGTTTAGGGTTTAGGGTCTACGGGTTTGGGTCCCTTAATATGGAGATTAGCCAAACCCTAAGCTCTAAGCCCTAAACCTTAGAAACCCTAAACCCTAAACCCTAAACCCTGAACCCTGAACCCTGAACACTAAACCCTAAACCCTAAACCCTAAACCCTGAGCCCTACCTAAAAGTCGGGGATTTTTGGAGTGCATTCATCCCCGCGAAGCCTCTCTCCGCAGCTCGCGCGTCCGCCATGCGCTCGGCCAGCAAGCTGCGCAGCCTCGGCTTCTCCGAACCCTGGGCTGTTTCAAGCCCTAAACCCTAAACCCTAAACCCTAAACCCTAGCCCTAAACCCTAAACCCTAAACCCTAAACCCTACAACCCTAAACCCTAAACCCTAAACCCTACAACCCGACAACCTAAACCCCGAATACCCCTAAACCCTAAGTCTTGATGAAGGTCTATTTCTGGGTATGTTTTTTGGCATTTGTGTCGGCAAAAATGTTTTTGTTGGAGTTTCCGGAACTTGCTGAACCCAAGACCCTAAATCTGGAACCCTACAACTTAGCCAACCCTACGTGTTAGGGTTGCAGCGTGTTTGGGTGGGGGGGGCGTTGTCTGCCCCCCCTTCGCTGCCCTTGCTGCCCCCGCCCCCCCCCCCCCCCCCCACCCTTCCCGCACCCCCCCCCACTGAGCCTGGCAAGCCATCACAATTTCAATCAAAAGCAAAAGCAAAAACCGGTCAAAACTCGGTCAAAACCCCGTCAAAACTCGGTCAAAACCCCGGACACAAACCCTATACAATTTCTATAAAGCCTAAACCCTAAACCCTCAAGAGCCTATAAATTGAGCTTGCATTATACATCGTGCGTGCCTTCATCATCCATTCTTGTCGAATTATTTTATCGAAATTATCAGAGCAGACAAAATGCCTTCAATTTATTTCTTCATGCATCCTTGTCAACATTTTAAGGCGGACAAAATGCCTTCATCATGCATCAAATTATTTCTCAAAATTATCAGAGCAAACAAAATGCCTTAGCAAGTAAGGAGGCTTAAGTAAATTGAGAATTTATAACAATTTGGTGGTTAAAGTGAATTGTGTTTTTTGAACACCATGAGGTTTAAGTAAATTAAATAGTGTCTGCTCTAACATTTGGACGCAGATGCATGATGAGCCACTTATGTTCACCTGTGTTCACCGCTACCAGCATAGCACCTTTAAGCCCCCCCAGGGCCCCTCAAGCCCCCAGCATGTTGTTTAGTTCAATTTAAACTCGAATACCCTAAACCCTAAATACCCTAAGTCCTAAATACCCTAAACTCTAAATGCCTTAAACCCTAAATACCCTATAGAATTTTACTAGTGTTTACTAGTATATCCCTTCCCCCCCTCCACCCCCGCTCCGCGACCGGACCGCTCATCAATTTCAGAAACGAGATTCAAAAAATGTACTCGGTCAAAACTCGGTCAAAACTTTCGGTCAAAATTGTGCCAAAACTTTCGGTCAAAACTTTTTGGCACTCAAACCCTTAACAATTTCTATGAAGCCTAAACCCTAAACCCTTCCTAAATTTCTCATTGAAAACCATTGAAAATAGCAAAAGCACACAAGCACATTTTCTTGCCAGGTATAGTGAAAACTTGTGAAATACCAAAACACCCATAGGTTTCTCTTCTTTTTCATTCAGCAACAATTGTTTTAAGGTTTAGGTTAGATTCATTGTTTTTTCTTATCTTTATGCAAGCCCGTATTCCCGAATTGCCTGAGACTGCCCGAGCATTCATTTTCAGCTTCAGCGTGACCGACAAGAAGAAAGGTACGTGCAGTCCGGCTCCAGCCCCACAGCCACGGATGCTGGAAGATAAAGTAATTAAAACAAAGAAACTCAGTTCGCCTTCCGCTTCAGGCCGCGCGGCGCTTTCAGACGTGCCGGCCGTCCGCGTCACGCTCCTGCACGGGTCGACGTTGCGCTGTTCGAAAGAGCATGCATACCCCAGAGCAGAAGCCATGAAACCTTGCCATGAACCAGTCCTGCTTGAAGTTCAGCTTCCGCAGTGCGATGCCCACCTGCGAATACTCTGGTCAACATCACTCCACAAATGTCAGCCGATTCAGCTTTTTGGCAACGTCAGAAGCCCTCACAGTGTCCTGCAACAATATTGCAACACTAGCTCAAACGCAACGCAACAGAGAGACTAATTGCTGCCGCCGCGACCTATCAACACAGCTGCTCTGCATACAACACCCAGCCTCCAATTGAAAGATTTGCGCGTAACCTAAAACAACGACGCCAAGTTCACACACACACACACTCACACAAAGACACACACACACACAAAGACAGAGCATGAATGACCAGATGCGCTGCCTGGCTTGAACCACGATCCGACACTTGAAATTTGCTGGACTCTGAAAGTATAGGCGATTGAACTTCCGTGCAGCCGAATCACTGTTCTTTATGACTTTCACAGTGTCCAGGGGATCCTCCTGACAAGCGAATCACAGCTGGCTTGTCCCATCATGGATGCAACAAAGAGTACGAACGAGTTTCTCCGAGCCTGAACTCGGTCGCTGGGCATAAACTTTCCGGAGCTGTGGTACAAAATACGGCCTGGGATCCTTTCCCAATTGATCGAAGTGCGACCATTCGTCTCCTGCTGGAGCAATCACAAAAAACATATGTTGACATAAACTCTAAGCCCATATATTATATTACATAGCATCACTCAATCCCATATTCCTGTCCTTGATTGAGGAGACGCCCCAACAATCTACCAACACGCGGTTGGCTTTAGCCTCTTTGGCCAGCCGCTTCCTCTCATCATCGCCGTGACCACCCGGGCCATAGTGCCGGGCCGCCACAGCAATGTACTCACACCTGCTGCAAACACCAGGTTAGCTCGAAAGCAGACATGTTCCGAGAAGCAGCGCTACCATACCAGACTACACGCAACAATTTTATGCAGTTGTGTGATTGCCGAGATGCCGAATGGTGAACCCAGCCGATGCGAAGGCCAAGCTGGTCAGGATCCAATCCTCCAAATCGAACAACAACTAGCGCACCACAGCTAGAGACACAACGCGCGCACACACACACACACACCCACACACACACACACACCCACACACCCACACACACACACACACACACACACGCAAGCTGCAGATGAGGTTCGCTTTTGCAAGCGAGTACCTCGGGATAGGCCAACTCTCTAGTCCGCCGACGCACCTGGAGGAAAGCAAGTTAGCAAGGTTTCACAGAAGTTGCTGAAGAGATCCTTCCTATGACGCCGCACCTGAAGTGAATCCATGATAGTCACCAGGCTTGTTTTGAAAGCCTGGCTAAAGGGAAATTTCAAGGACCAGCAAACGTCGGTTTTGCAGCAAGTCGAGGAAGACCAAAAACTCAGATATCTTTGCGACCGAACATTCACGCTACCAAGTTGCATCTTCCGGACGGCAGTTAAGGGGATTGCTGCTGACGAAGCCAGCCAGATGACCCCCATACGTGAATAGCCCCTCCACCATGACCTCGTATCACAAATGACACGTTCTTATTGCTGGTGTGAGTTGAATGGAACTCAACTGCAACAAGTACAGCCCCAAAGTGAACTGACCTCAATGGCACGACGTAGATCGTTTGGGGTACATCTGGCATAGCTTTTGTCACCAGGCTTCGCACTTGCCAAACAAGTTCCACACAAGGGGCCATGACAACGCCTCGCAATAAACAAACACTAAGTAAGCCACATCACGAGCCAGCCTACAAAGGCGCGGTTCACAGCCACAATGTCATCAACAGCTTTGATGATGAAGGGACACTCATGTTTGCTGCCCAAATCTTCAAAGTCCTCATGCTGTCCAATCGACAACCGGAAAGATTTCCAGTAGGCTTGCTTATTTCAGTGCATTTTCCAAACATATAAAGTCGATCTATCATAAAACCTACTGCTTCACGGCCATATGCTGCCGTCACTCATAACTCATCCTTACATTTAATGCTTAAGACTTAAGTCCTCCGGGCCGATGTAGGCATCGGCAGCAGCCAGCCCAGGCGTAGGCTCCGCAACGACACAATAGTCGAGCTCGGCCTTGTCGAGGAAGCGTTTGTAGACCTTCACCTTTAGACACCACATGTTCAAGCAAAATAATCTTCATAAAGCCCAAAAATGTTCAATAATTATTTCACTTTGTTTGACCAGATTGCTGTGCGACAAGCTAGTGAGCAGTTTCAGAGAAAACAAAGATTCGATCATGCACCTGGGACTTCGGCACCACCACATACTTGATGTTCTGCGGGAAAAACTCCTGCCAGTCGACAACCGAGCTACACCTTGAATCAAGACAGACTCGCCGGAAAAGCTATCACGGATAATCGGATAATCCACACACGTTAATTGACCAATTCAAGTCGTCCTGAAGAAGGCGTCCGGATGTGAACTCATCCAGAGTAGCACGGTCCTTGCAGTTTTTAACAGATATCTAAGTGCTGCTCCACAGCATGACACCATCAACACTCCTTTGACACGACGATGACGGGAATCGACTCACAGGAAGGAGCCATTGCGCAGGGATGGTGGGAGAAAGCGACAGCAGTTCACTGCAGAACCAGAACCTGCATTTATATAAGCAATCACAAAATTGCGATCGGTTCATGAAGGGTTTAGGGAAACCCTTTGCTGGGGCCAGGAGCAACAAAAGATTTTCTCCCTAAACCCTAAACGCTAAACCTAAACCCTAAACCCTAAACCCTAAACCCTAAATTCTCTAGGCGCCAACTTCACTGGCGAACCCTAAACCCTAAACCCTAAATCCTAAACCCTAAACCCTAAACTCAGGGCCGAGGCCGCCCCCCCTACAGAGGAGAATCGGCGCTTAAGCCCGTCCACCCTGGCGAAAGTCGACCCAGGTCGCTTGCCCGCCTCCTGCAGCCAGGACGTCGGTAGCACCCACGATGATGGGCCCAATACCGTTTGGGGTACCCCAAGGCCGGTAATGGAGTGCACCCCCCCCCCCCCCCCCGCACCACCGCTGCTCGTAATGGAGTGTTTTGGGCTCCCCCCCCCCACCCCCTTCCGCTGCCTTGGCAATGGAGAGTGTTTGAAGGGCTCAGTGCACCCCCCCCCCGCCCCTCGCTGCCCGCCCTCCCCGGCCCCCGCCCTCCCCGCTGCCCACACACTTGCCCTCACTTGGCGCCTGCCCGACCCCCCCCCCCACTGCCCCGCTGCCGCTGCTTCCTTGCTGTTAACCCCACGATCGCCCGCTCTCTCTGTGTATATATATATATATATATATATATATATATATATCTGTGTGTGTGTGTGTGTCTATGTATGTGTGTATATATGTGTGTCTGTGTGTGTGTGTGCTGTGTGCTCGAAACTTAAACCTAAACCCTGACTGGGCGGCCCGGCGCTTCCGCCATCATCTCCGCCGCCACGGCGGTGTAGGGTTGCGGGTTTAGGGTTTATAGGGCTTAGGGAGTTGCGGGCCTAATCCAAGCCCTACGCCCTAAACCCTATGGCCTCCTGTCGGGGTCGGCGGCATTGGCGGTAGCCATTAAATCCGGCCCTGGCCGTCATGGTCCAGTGCGGAGCACGGCTAGCCCAAAGGCTTGCCTTTATGCGGGCGCGGCCTGTGCCGCCGACCCGCCCTGAAAATGGCATGTCTCCTTGCATGAGGCTCCGGGGGGAGCCCCGGGGCTCCGAGCGGGGTCCCAAACGCGAATGCGTGGAAGTGCCGAAAACATCGTAAATACCATGTTTTTGCGTTTTTGGAGGGCCGCCAAACGCCCTGGAGGGCTCATGATGCGTGACCCGGCGCGCATCATCGACTCTGCTTTTTAACGTTGGGCGAACATGCGAAAAAAGACCTTATATGCCTCAAGTTTTGGGGGGTACCCCCCCCCCCCCCCCCAACAGGCGCCAGCATCATGAGCATCAGCGACCTGCCCCCGGGGCCACAGGAGGGCCCGGGCACCGCAATAAAGCCAGAAAACACCGTAAATACCGTGTTTTTCGTGTGTTTCGACACACACCTCCTTTCGGGGCACTGCCGCGCCTCCACGGTGAGCATCATTGACACCCAAGGCCTCGGGGGCGTCAGCCGACGCCCGCGAGACGCACCCACGGGTGCGCATCATGAGCCCTTCATTTCTCCACGGCCCTCGGGTCCCAGCTCCGGAGCCTCGGCTGATGCTCATGAGGGCCTCGCTGATGCTCATGATGCTCGCTTGGGGGGGTGTTCAAAAACTCCTCGTTATGGCTGCCGTGTATGCACGCAGCGCCAAACCTCGGAGAAAGCATGTTTTTCTCGAGAAAACCTTGGTTTCGTCGTGTTTTTGGGCGTGTTTCGCGACTTTCGGCCCCCACCCCCAAGCCGCTGGTGCCAGTGATGCTGCTGCGCCCGCGCGCGCGCCCGCGCCCGCGCCCGCGCCCGCGCCGCGCACCGCGCCCGCGCCCGCGCCCGCGCCCGCGCCCGCGCCGCGCCCGCGCCGCGCCCGCGCCCGCGCCCGCGCCCGCGCCCGCGCCCGCGCACGCGCACGCAGAGGATTCTTTGTAGGGTTTCGGCTGTCGCTTCCTGTTCTTTCTTCTCTTCTGCTTCCTGTTCATTGTTTGTTCTTATTCTTTTTCTTTTTATTCCTTGTCTTCTTGTTTTCCTTCTTTTTGTTATTATTCTTTCCCTTCTTCTTCTTCTTATTATGTTTCTTCCTTTTCCCTTTCGTCTTGTTATTATTATTTCTTTTCTTTTGTTCTTCTTCTTTTCCTTCTTCTTTCTTTTATTCTTCTTCTGCTTCTTCTTCTTCTTTATTTCATATTATTCCTGTTCTTCTTTCTTTTCTTCTTCTTTCATTATTCTTTCATTTCTTCTTCTTATGTTTCTTATTTGTCTTACTCTTCTTATTTATCTTCTTCTCTTTCTTCCTTTACCCTTTATTCTTGTTATTATTCTGTTTTTTTTATTCTTTTTATTTTTTATGTTGTTTCTTCTGTCTTTTCTTTTCTTATTCTTCTGGTTCTTCTTCTGTCTTTTATTATTATTCTGTTTCTTCTTCTTTCTCTTCTTCTTATTTTCTTATTATTTCTTTTATTCTTCTTTTTCTTCTTCTTTTATTCTTCTTATTTCTCTTCTTCTTATTTTTTCTTTTTCCCTTTCTTCTTGATTACGCCCCGACTCCCTGCGCCCCCTAAACCCCTAAACCCAAACCTGAGTTTCAGCTTTCAGACGGCCAGGCCGGCCCGTGCCGCAAGGCCTGTAGATAATCACAGATTCATGTACGTATGTTTGCAGTTTAAGCACATGGACCAATCTCGGGGGTATGGAGGGTTCAGATAGGGCTCAGAACAGGGATCCTGGGTTTGTAGGTTTGAACTTTAATGGCTTAGTTCCAGGCGGTGACCTGTTGGTACCTGGCCCTTGTAAAACGTAGGGTTTGGGGTGCAGAGTGTTTTGGGGTGTAGGGGCTTGTGGGGTGCTGTTCTCGTGGGTCTTTTGGCAAAGAGACATACTGCTTTACAAGACCCTAAGCTCTAAACCTTAAACCTTACACCCTACACCCTAAGCCGGGGCCCGTCTTTTCGAACAACCCCTCATGAAGGTAGGGCCAATTCAGCTTAACCAGGGTCCATGGGGGTTTCCGATGTTAGGGGTACCTGATTGGGGTCCTTCTTATAAGGGAATCCTACTTTTGGGGGGGTTTGCAGTAAGGGGTCCCCTTATTTTTTCGTAAACCCTGACATTCAAACCGAGAAAAGGACCAACTCTCGTGCGGAAGGAGGCGCAAGTGGAGTCCGAGCGCATTCAGTGGGTGCGGCACGAAGCGCGATGCAGAGAGAACCTGGAGATTGGTGCGCCCATATCCCTGAACCCTAAACCCTAAACCCTAAACCCATGAACCCTAAACCCAAAACCCTAAACCCCAAAACCTCTCAACCCAGCAGAGAGAACCTGGATTGGTGTGCTATGTACTACCGAGCTCGTGTTAGCGTCGCCGTCGGAGCTGGAAAGCATGGCAAACGTGGTTTATCTTGCGAGTTAGGGCGCCTCTTTCTCAGGCTCTGTGTGTGTCTCTGTCTCTCTGTCTGTGTGTGTGTGTGTGTGTGTGTGTGTCTGGTGTGCCTGGTATGTGTGTCTGTGTGCGCGTGCCAGGAAAATGCTGCGCATGCCTCTGTTTCCGGGCAGGCTTGAGACATTCCCCGAGTGTAGCCCCCCCCCCCCCCCCCCCTAAACCCTAAACCCTAAACCCTAAACCCCTAAACCCTAAACCCAAAACCCTAAACCCTGCCGAGAATCCCCGACTCGCAGCACGCCGGGCTTGAGTTGGGGATTGAGGGTCCGGAAAAGGGTTTTGTATGGTTAAGCAGAGTGTAGTACACAGCTTGCGCATGACTTCGTAGGGCTTAGTTCGGTTCAAGGTGGCTCTTCAGCCCATTCAAGCCCATTCAAGCCCATTAACGCCCTAAACCCTAAACCCTAAACCCTAAACCCTAAACCCTAAACCCTAAACCCTAAACCCTAAACCCTAAACCCTAAACCCTAAACCCTAAACCCTAAACCCTAAACCCTAAACCCTAAACAAAAAAGCCCTAAGCTTCCAGCCTCTCCCAGCTCGCAGCTGTCCATGCTGCGCAGGCCCTGGCCGAAAAAAACCGCAGTGCTACCTTAGGGTTAGGGCTGAGGGTTTAGAGTCTTTAGGGTTTAGGGTTTAGGGTCTAGGGTCTAGGGTCTAGGGTTTAGGGTTTAGGGTTTAGGGTTTAGGGTTTAGGGGTTAGGGTTTAGGGTTTAGGGGTACATGTAGGGGCCCCCTAGTTGTGAATAGGGTTGTAAGGGCCCTACATTGGGTTATGAGTATTACAACTTGGGTACTAAACCCCCCTTAACTAGAGTTAGTATAGTAAGGGAGCCCCTTCTTGTAGGGCTCAGGGTTTATAGGGTTCAGGGTTGGGCTTCAGGTCTAGGGCTTAAGGATATAGGCTTTCAAGGTATTTGGAAGAGGTTTCGTGGGAATAAAGTGTGCGTATATTACCTAGTTTGTAAACAGGAAACCTTATTTCATTGCTTACTGTTTCGTTTAGAGGTAAGCGGTTGCTTCAGGTAGGCGAACTACCCGACGAGTGTACACAAGATACACCACAGGACTTAAGCCGGGTCTGCTTCTAGCTACTACCCAAATTATCAGGGCTCAGGATTTAAAATATCCCACGAACCCTATAAGCCCTACACCCTGCCCATAATCCTGCCACAGGGTACCTAAGCCCTACACCCTGCCCATAATCCTGCGACAAGGTACCTGTAACGAGAGGCGAGGATGCAGTTTGCCTCCCTAAATACCCCAAGTACCTCTAAACCCTAAACCCTAAACCCTAAACCCTAAACCCTAAAAAGGTTTTAAGGTTTAAAGGCCTCTTGGGCCATGAAATCTTCGATCCCGAACCTGGCGAATCTAGGAAGCCCAGCCCCTCAGTTTAGGGTTTAGGGTTTAGGGTTTGGATTTCATTACGAAATGAGGCCCCAGCCAATTTTCGTGAGAGGTAACCCACGGGCCAGCCCGATTCGCTTTAGTAGGTTTGTTTGGGCACTCGCTACAAGGGAATTCTTTACATTCCAGGCCTTAAAGGGCCTTAAGGTCCTAAAAGGCTTCAGGGATTAAGGGCCATGGCTTCAGCCCTCGAGGCTTGACAGCTTCAAGCCTTCTGCCTCCCCTCCTTTCTGGAGGGTCCCAGATTTGTTGGGGGGGGGGGGGGGGGGGGGGGGGGGGGGGGTCCCTACTTCTTAAAGCCAGTGCAACATTACACACTGAGCCTATAGATTCCTCGAACTGAAGCCCCCTAAACCATGTACTTCTTAGTAAAGTATTTGAGCAGACGGACCTCGACGAGCTGTGCGAAAACGTCGCCTTCGGCATAGGCGGGGGCATCTTCGTGCGCTTCGTAAATGCGTGCTGAGCTGAATCGGACCCTGAAACCCAGTGTGCATGTGAGTGTGCCATGCCGCGCGTTTTGGTTCTTGCCCCGCGTGTGCGCGGGCAGCTTAATCATTGTCGTACGTTGCTGCGGGTGCTGGCTGTGTATTTGGCTGCTGCGGCGGCTGCTGCTGCTGTTGCTGCTGCTGCTGCTGCTAATGCTGCTGCTGCTGATGATGATGATGACGAGGATGATGATGATGATGAGAGCGTGATTTGGTGTCAGACCAGTGTATTAATGATATCGCCTCAACACCCAACAGGTAGATCAACCACTACCTTAAGGACACAAGCTAAAGGAGCTTGCAGCCCATGCTTCTTCAAGAGATCCAAACCTTAAACCTTAAACCCTGAACCCTAACCCTAAACCCTAAACCGCTGCTCGGCGCCTTCAGCCGTGCCCGCGTCTTGCACCACGCGCGCGATGAGCGCGCGATCCGAAGCGGTCAAGAACCGCTCCACCCCTCGGAATCGGGGTTCCCCTCCCTTCAGCATGGGCTATTCTTAGGGTTTAGGGTTTAGGTTTAGGGTTTAGGGTTTAGGGTTTAGGGTTTAGGGTTTAGGGTTTAGGGTTTAGGGTTTAGGGTTACCCTAAGGGTCCATGTACCTCATGATTACGTACTTGGGGCCCCAAAGTCCCTACAGAGGAAGTTCTTCCAGGCCCAAGTGTTCAATATTTAGGTGCATGGACCCTTTGGCTACTTAGGCTTTATAATCCCCCTAACCCTGAACCCGAAACCCTAAACCCTAAACCCTAGCCCCTATACCCTAAACCCCAAAGCCCTAAACCCGAAACCCTAACCCTAAACCCTAGACCCTAAACCAACCCTATGAAGGGCCTTTCTAAGGGCTTGCAGGGTATGATAGCCCATGCAGGCTAGCTGGGCGTAGAAATAGGGTTTAGGGGCTTTAGGGTGCCATATGTAGAGATAACAAGATGCTAAGTTGGGTTGGAAGTATTCAAAAGTTAGGTCGCAAAAGTCTCCTGCAACTGAGTTTTTTTGAAGGTGCCAGTCAAAGACCGGGCGAACTGAAATGCTGGAACCATCTGTGGCCTACACAGTTTGGGTAAGGGTAAGAATATGGCTACTGCCATGTAGGCTTACAAGCCCTCAAAGGACCCGAGAGAGCTGAACATTTCGGTAAGCCCAGACACGCCACAGCAGGTCGTCAGGAACTGCCCCCTGGCGACCGCCGTTGCTTGCTAGGATGGAGCCACTGGGGTGCCATGGATTTGGTCTACATCCTGGTAGCCCAGTTTCCATAGTTTAACAAGGGCACCGTGTGTTTTGGGCTGCTATTTCATTAGAAAACCTTGCAGCTACCTTGCACCAAAAAGGGGAAAAGGGTACCACTGGGCTACCAAGGCATAGGCTAATTTAGGCTGGTTTAGGGCGGCCAACCAGCTTCGAAGTGGCATTGGTTACTTTTGTTGGGATTTGCCCACTTATGCTAGCAGTTTAAGACAGCTTAATGGGGATTCAAGTCCCCCCCCCCATACTCTCGTCCCTACTAAGGACTGGTAGTATAAGGGGGTTTATCCCAAGTTACAAGTCCCAAACTGCGCGAAACACTGTTCGTCGACCCTCAGCCGAGCAGGGCGGAGAACAAGACGACGTCACGTGATGCGTCAGTTGCCGGCGGAAGTTTACGCTAAGGTCCAAAGGACTTTGCTTTTTTAAAGGTGTTCGCGCTGAAGGGTCCACAAGGGTTGAGGCTTCGAGTATACCTAAACCTTAAACACCCTAACCTCCGACCCTCCAATCCACTCCACCCTGTGATGACTATGATGGGCGTTGTGCTCCATCTGATAGGTCACACCAACCGGATAGACAGGGGGTTGCTGAAGGCTTTGCTTGTAACAAAGGGAAGGGTTACAGAGCTTTGATTTCTGGGAAATCTCTTATTGGCGCAAATCCCCACCTCTGGTGCAGACTTCCCGGCAAACACATTCTCATTCTGGGGAATTTGGGGTTTGGGGTTTAGGTCTAAGGGCCCTTAGCCAGGCCGATAAACGTGCGAAAGGACCCTCGCGACTAACGCCCTACAAACACAAAGACCCCAACCGCCTGACAACCTGCAACCCCTGAAGCCCTACACGATCCGAAAACCTAAGCTACTCAGAACCCTGCCCCAGAAAATCGAGCTTCGGGTGTAAAGGGCCATACGCCCGAAGCCCAACACACCAAGCTGCCACATCCCATTTCTTATGGTGGCCTCCCCAAGCCCTAAACCCCAAACCCTTAATGTTAGAATCCCATTTTTAATTGGGGTGGTAATACTAAAATTCGCCGGGCCAGAGGGGTCCAGCCGAAGACTACTTTCCATTACGGGAGGTTTTCGGGCCGATGTATGTAAACAAGTCTATTTTGGGGTGTGCGATGATAATAATAAAGGGTGGTAATTATAAAATTCTGCCGGCCTGGAATGGAAAATTTTACTGAGAATCGCTTAAGAGTTCCATTGCAGTGACGCCCCCCCAGACCCCCAGACCCCCAGACCCCCAGAATTCATTATTGGCACCCCGTCTTTTTTTCCACCCCTCCAAACCCCGGGGACCAAAACAAGATTTGGGGGGGGGGGGGGGGGGGGTTCATTAATGGGACCCTAACATTAACCCTCCTTGCCTCAGCACACTTTGGTGCCAAGCCAATCGGCCGTGCCTGGCGCCAACATGAGCCGGGCTGCTGCTAGGGAACGCTATAGCTGAGTGGCTCACGATCTACTGGTTTGGGGTTGGGGGTTCAGGGTTTAGGGTTTAGAGACCCAGCTCTCTAATCCTAAGGGTCCATGTAACATGTACCTACTGTATAGGTCGATGCTTCGGTCTTAAAATTGGTTCCCATATATGAGCCGCAGGGCCGAAATATAAACTCTATAGGTGCATGGACCCTCAGGGAAAATCCTGGGTTTCCCACGAACCTGGATTAGAAAGAAAGGGTGCCTTCTGTTTGCTAGAAAAGGGGCTATACGGGAACCTAACCCCCCCCCCCCCCAAAGAGAATAAGGGCACTACCGGGCATCCTAGTATATGGACAATTTTAGGGTTAGGGTTTAGGGGGCGCTTTGGGGGCATTTAAGGTTCCGGCTTTAGGGCCCTTAAACCCCCAAACCCTAAACCCTAAATCCTAAACCCCCTAAACCCCTAAACCCATAAACCCTAAACCCTGTATGGCTTAAGCCGCTTCCCTTCACCAGGGTGCAGGGCTTGTAGGGTTTAAGGGTTTAGGGGCTTAGGGTTTCAGGCTCAGGGTTTACAATGGTTTCGCGGAACTCCGAGAAAAGGTGGACCCCAAAGCAACTTCCCAAAAAAGAAGCTCCCAGCAGGCGTGCAGCAGGACAATCACAACCTTGAATTGTAGTCCCGAGCGGAACGTGTCCGGCGCCCTAAACCCACGATTGTTGTCGAGGAAAGGAAGGAGGTCTTCGCTAAACTGGTGACTACGTCACTTAGTGCCCTAAACCCTAAACCCCTAAACCCTAAACCCTAAACCCAGCGAAGCAAAGCCCTGTGGGTTGCTTTACGTGTAACTGCATAAGCTCTCAACAGTGCCTGAAGAATGTGAAAGAGGCCACCCGCCAGCTCCTGTTCGAGGCTGTGCAGGTTTAAGGTCAAACGGGGCTCAGGGTGTATGTACGCTTAGGGTTTAGGGCTTAGGGCTTTGGGTTCGGAGTTTTGAGTGCTATACAGTCTTCAGCATGAGAAAGTTCGCACAGGGGCAGTGCGCCGAACAGCTGGGGTCTGTCGCCTGAAGTCAGTGTCCTTTCGCTTAAGTTTGGGTTGGGCATTTGCTACTCTTAGGTTTTGGTACATGTGTTATTCATGATATGTGTGCTGATGATTTGGAGGGAGTGTGCTGGGGTCATTGCTGCTAGTACTTCGTTCCGCCGCTGCTGAACCGGCAAACGACGCAGCACCAAATCTACCCGAATTACAGCCAAGGCTGGGATCAGGGTGCAGCAGGGTTTGGGCTCTAGTTTTTAGCTTTAAGTTTGTGGGGTCTGGGGCTTTCTACGTGTACATATATGGGGGTTTCCGAAATTAGGGGTACCTTCTTGGGGTCCCTACTATAAAAGAATCCTACAAATTGGGGTTTATTTTCGGGGTCCCCTATATTCGTAATCCCCCCATATGCACGTGGACCTCCATCCTCCACGTAGTGAGTCGTAGCCCTAAACCCTAAACCCTAAACCCTGAACCCCAAACCCTAAACCCTAAACCCTAAACCGCCTAAACCCTTCAAGTTCACAAGCGACACTCATGCCGGCTTCCTTGGCTTCGCCCGACGGAGTGACCTCGCGCCGCCGAGTCGACTGCGTTAACGGTGTTTAGGGGTTTAGGGTTTAGGGTTTAGGGTTATAGATGTGGGTTTAGGGTGCGGAGTTAGGGTTTAGGGTTTAGGGTTTAGGGTTTAGGGTTTAGGGTTTAGGGTTTAGGGTTTAGGGTTTAGGGTTTAGGGTTTAGGGTTCAGGGCTATAGATGTGCGTGGGTGTAACGCTACGAACTCGAAACTCTAAATGCTCTTGTAATCACATACCTAGGACCGAAGCAGCCCAACAACCTCCAGTCTCCCACTAGCCGCATCTTCGTCTTCAAAGCCAAGCTTTGGGCCTGTGCTCGAGCTACGCGATCCAGCTGGATCCTGCCTGTAAAGGGCCGGATTTGGAGACAGCACCACCTGTGGCAGGCCGAGAAGGGCTGGAGCTCCCTCTTGCAACTGAGGCGATGGGTCCACCTCTGCTGGAGGAGCGGGGTCACCACTCGCGGAGACCACTAGCCCATGCCAGATGATTTTTGAGCATCCAGACGTGGATTCTGGCTTCTTTGGCACTGACGCAGGCTAAGCCCTAAACCCTAAACCCTAAACCCTATATAGACCCTGAACCCCTACTGTAGCTAAAACGCAAGCCGTGGGATCCCTGGGCCCATGACAGCAAAAGGCCCGACTTCCCTCAAACTCGGCCGAGGCACCACGTGGCAAATACCCATGTCGGGGCCTGTCTGCATGGGTTTAGGGTTTAGGGTTTAGGGTTTAGGGTTTAGGGTTTAGGGCGACATTCTTAGGGTAGTTACATGGTCCCTGGACATGGGAGTTTAGGGTTAGGGCCTAGGGTTTAGGGTTTCGGGTCCCTTCATATAGGGGATTTTGGGTTTAGGGTCTGGGGTCTAGGGGTTTAGCTGTTTAGGGTAGTTGCATGGTCCATTCGCATCTTAACAGGGGAACGGGGGAACCCTTCGATACCCCTTATGTACCCTTTTAAATCCCAAGGGCCCATACTTCACAACCCTTTTAAGGAGGGTAAGGGACTACATTGTAAGGGCCCATGAAGCAACCCTCGATACCCAGGATGGCTCTTCAAACCCTCAGAAAAAATCCTAAATATGGTTACGTACATGTAGGGGGCCCCTAGTTATAACCCCAAAAAACCCCTTAAATATGGTTACCTACACGTAGGGGCCCCCTAGGTATAAATATGGTGATAAGGGTCCTAAATTGGGTTATAAGTCTTACTATGTAGGTTAAAACTTCCTTAACTAAGGTTAGTATAGTAAGGGGGCCCCTACTTGTAGATACATGGGCAACTGTGCTTCATAATGTATGGTTTAGGGTTCAGGGCTTCCGTGGGGCACCTCAACTGGGTAGGCTTCTGGGCTTTGGGGCATTGAGAGAACACCGACCTGCACTGTGAGGAAGACTTTTGTGTTTGGGGCTTGCGTATTAATCGTCGCAACAAATGTATTTCGGAGGTTCTACGGCAAGGCTGTACTTACAGGAGCCCATCAAAGTGCTCCATAGATCCACCCGACTTGCGAAAGACTCGGCCCACTACTCGAAAATACAAACAACTTGAACCCTGAACCCTAAACCCTAAACCCTTAAGCACGTAAACCCTAAACCCCTACACACCTAAACCCTAAACCCTAAACCCTAAACCCGGCGAAGTACAGGGCACCCAGACCTCGCATCAGGGTTTAGGCTACATCAGCCCTGCTGGAAAAAGCAGATAATTAAGCTTCCCCCCGGCGCTGCCATGAAAAGCACTCTGTGATTTCATTGAACTTGTCTGCCGTGAGCTGTGGGGCAACGCCCTTTGCCTTCTCCAACGCCCGCTCCATCTCGTTTGTCTTTGAGACGTAGCCAGAAGCACCCGACGAGCTTGTCATTGTGCAAAGATGAGCGAGGAATGCTAAGCGACAAGCTTTGAACACCAAAGGGATCGTCGGACGAACGGTCGTCGCTTCCGAAGCAGCTGACGATGCCCCCGCCAACCTTAAACCCTAAACCCTAACTTCCCAAAACACCTGAACCCTGAAACCTGAACCCTAAACCCTAATAAGCGTAAACCCTAATAACCCTAACAAACCCCAATAACCCCAATAGCCCTAATAACCCTAATAACCGTAATAACCGTCATAACCCTAATAACCCTAATAACGCTCATAACCCTAATAACCCGAATAACCCTAATAACCCATATAACCCTTATAAGCCTAATAACCCTCAACCCTCAACCCTAAACCCCTTCCCGCCTTCGAGGACGATCGTGCCGAGCAGGGGACGGCCATCGAGGCCGGCGCCGGCCACGCGGCAGAGCCCGAGCTGGTCTCCGGCCTTCGAAGCCCTAAACCCTAAACCCTAAACCCTAAACCCTAAACCCTAAACCCTAAACCCTAAACCCTAAACCCTAAACCCTAAACCCTAAACCCTAAACCCTAAACCCTAAACCCTAAACCCTAAACCCTAAACCCTACACCCCAGCCCCCCTTGCGACTTTCTACTGTAGGGTTTAGGGTTTAGGGTTTAGGGGTTTAGGGTTTAGGGGTTTTAGGGTTTAGGGGGTTAGAGGTTTTGGGGTTTGCACTAGGGGTTGAGGTTTAGGGTCTTAGGTTTAGAGGTTAAATGTTTTAGGGTTTCATCGAAAGTGGACCAGGCCCAGGGCTCTAACATCGAGAGGGTTTAGGGTTTAGGGTTTAGGGTTTAGGGTTTAGGGTTTAGGGTGTAGGGTCCCTCAAAGTGGCTGGAGGGCGGGCGGGTTTAGGACTCAAGGCTTGATGGGCGGGTTTAGGGTTTAGAGTTTAGGGTTGAGGGTTTAGGGTTGAGGGTTTAGGGTTTTAGGGGTTTAGGGTTTTAGGGTTTTAGGGTTTTAGGGTTTTAGGGCTTAAGGGTTTTAGGGCTTTAGGGTTTTAGGGCTTTAGGGTTTTTGGGTTTAGAGTTTAGGGTTGAGGGTTTAGGGTTTGAGGGTTTGAGGGTTTTAGGGTTGATGCACGGGCTTGAACCAAGGTTTAGAGGTGGTTGGGTTCAGGGTGAGGGTTTAGGGTTTAGGGTTTAGGGTTTAGGGTGTAGGGTCTAGGGTCTAAGGTCTAGGGTTTAGGGTTTAGGGTTTAGAGTTTAGGGTTTAGGGTTTAGGGTTCAGGGTGGAGGATTCGGCTCTTGTCTCTAAGGTCGAGGGTGTAGGGCTGAGGGTCCTCTGGAAAGCGCTGGCCTCTGTAGCCACTGCCTTGCCATCCTGGCCACAGTTAGGTTCTGGCCTTGGACTACGGATTCAGGGTCTGATGGTTCTGGGATGTTGAGGGCATCATGGAGGGTCTACATCGGTAAGTTGAGGGTGCAGGCTTTGGCCTGGACAGGTTTTGGAAGTTTTGGGTTGGAGGGGACTCAGGTACAGGTCTCAAAGAAAAAGAGAGAGAGAGAGAGAGCCAGAAAGAGATAGAGGCAGAGATGGAGAGAGTGAGAAAGCGAGTGAACCCTAAACCCTTTGAATCCCTAAACCCTTAAGCCCTAAACAAAAAAAAAACAACTAAACCCTTAACCCTTAAGCCCTAAAGCAAGAAAAACTCCCTAAACACTTAAACCCCAAACCCGTAGCAAGCGAGTGAGTGAAAGGGCGACTCAGAGCGCGCGGAGCAAGGCGAGGTGAGGAAGGAGACGACAGAAGGAGAGGCAACAGGAAGAACCGCCCAAGCATAACCGCTGCTTAAGGCATGGTCCCCTAATGTGGGCCCTGAATTGGGGAACCCTTATATACCCTTTTAGACCCATAAAACCCAAGAACCCATACTTCAGAACCCATTAAACGAAGTGAGCGGCCATAGTAAGGGACCATGAAACTTCCCTTAGACAAACACGAAATATGAACATAGCTGGGGTTTTGGGCTTAGGGTTAGGGTTTCGGGAAACTATTGCCATTTGGGGCCTAACCTTCGTTAGGCCTAACCTTCGTTTAGGCTTCCAACGCCTCTCACACCACTCAAACGTACCTATCGGACCTATCGGGTTTAGGGTTTAGGGTTTGGGGTTATATTATCTAAGGACGAACCACGGCAACTTGCCTCCCACAGAGGCATCGCCAGCTCTGGCGTGGGCGGTATGACATCCTGTCATATTTGTTCCGCAGCTTCTCCAAAACCCTAAGCCCTATAAATAAATAGATAAATAAAAAAATAAATAAATATATATATATATATATAGATACCCTTCGAACAGGGTAAAGACCAGGCTCAGGAATAGAAGTGGTTCAAAGGATCATGAAAGCGCGATGACCAGAGATGGACGTGCCTTTGCTCACAATTATCAGGTTACTTGCTTCAAAATCAATGCTTGCTTGGACACCACATGCACCACAAATACGCACCAGCCTCGCACACACCTCTCTCACAAGCTTAGCGTTGGGGTGGTGGATGTTTGACGTGACATACTAGGACCTAGGATTGTACAGTAAGAAGCATGCCTAAGAAGCATGCCAGGAGGTTTTTGCTCGGCACAGCATGCACAAGCGAAGCAAGGCAATCTCAACCCCTACCCCGCAAGCACTCTGAATACCCCGAATAGGATACCCTAAGCCCAAAACCCTACACCAGGTCCCGTTTATTGGGCACTTGGGGGTGCAGGTAAACCCATCCTGTCAAGTTGACCTGGCTTTGCATCCTTAACCTTAACATTTAGGCGACGATCCAAGGCGCCAAGCATGGAAACATCCCAGATAAGCCTTATACTTGTCCGCTAAACCCTAAACCCTAAACCCTAAACCCTACACCCTAAGTGGGCTGGGGAGCCTAAGGTCAAGAGTCTTGCAGGTTGCCTCGCTTCGCAGGAACAGTCCTCTGCAACCTCGCGCCACCAAACATCGCAACTGTCTCTAAGCGACGCGAAGAGAACTGCGCCTGAATCCGGCAAGTTGGGTCCCTATAAGGGCTTTTAGCTTAGGGTTCCTTTTTTGGGGTTGTAGGGTTTTACAAGATTTATAGGATTCTTAGGGTTTATAGGGTTTTAGTTTGGTTTAGGGTTGATGGTTGCGGGGGGTCAGTGTAGGGTTGAAAACCTCGGCTCCCTTGCATAAAGCTCAACAATCATGGCACATGTAACACCAGTTTAGGGTTTAGGATTTAGGGTATAGGCAGGCAGCCTCACTGAACAGCCTTACCATAATTCTAAGCTTCTAATAGCAGGGTAGGGGATTAGGCACGTTGTCTGCCCATATATAGCCCTTGCACTTCGTCCCTCATCAGCTTTGCGCCGTACTCGGGGACAGGACACTGCACGTGGGGCTTCTGTATAGCATGAACGACCTCACCCGCATATTAGGGGTCCATTGTAATTTTGTAAGCCCCCATATCGGAACCCTGTTCCTTTGAAACTTTATCGCGTTAGTTTTTGGATATGGTCTAGGGCTGAGGCTCGAAGGCTGAGGAGGCTGATGGCTACAAAAGCTTCCTCTCGAACAAAGGATGCATGAGTAAGAACCCAAGCAAACCAATATGGGGGTTTACGATATTCGGGGTACCATATTGGGGTCCTTATTATAAGGGGATCCTGGTCTGTATCAGGGGTCCCTGATTCTCGTAAACCCCATGCTGCCACCACAAACTACCAATGAGAAAGAACGCACCCCAAATATAGTCGTAGCTCAGACGAGGGGGGGGCGGGGGTTCGACCAGCCGTAAAGCCACAGCACCACACTCAGGTACAAAACGTTAAACATTGGTCCAGCCAAGTCAAGATGAGTTACCCAAATCCCTGAGAAGCCTTCTTTGAGGTATCCTACGTGCCTAACGCCACTCCTCAAACTTTCTTACACCCCCAACTCCGACAAATCGTATCAGGTGCCCCACTCACACGGCGGAAGTTGCATGAGCTGTTTCCCTAAGGCTCTGAATAGTCTTATTTCAGATTTTGTTGACGGGGCCCATAAACCCTAAGCCCTAAACACATAATTAACCCCTGAAAACCCTGAACCCTAAACCCTAAACCCTAAACCCTATAAACCCTAGACCTGTTGGGTTCAGATTCTTGGCTTCGCCCTGGCGCCTTCCACTCTGCCGCTAGCATCGGCCCGCCAGCACTCCCCTTCCAGGCCGGTGAAACCTGTGCAAGTGCAACCCTATGAACCCCATAAACCCCATAAACCCCATAAACCCCATAAACCCTATAAACCCTATAAACCCCATAAACCCTATAAACCCTATAAACCCTATAAACCCTATAAACCCTATAAACCCTATAAACCCTATAAACCCTATAAACCCTATAAACCCTATAAACCCTATAAACCCTATAAACCCTACAAACCCGATAAACCCTATAAACCCTATAAACCCTATAAACCCTATAAACCCTATAAATCCTATAAACCCTATAAACCCTAAATTAAGGGGCCGAAGATTCTGCTGTTTAAGTACATGGACCTCCTGGACCCTCTTGGTGCCCTAGAACTCGTAATACACCATAAACCCTAAACCTTAAACCCTAAACCCTAAACCCTAAACCCAAATCATGCGTTTGGTGGAGAAGTGGGGTTGGCGCGGAAGGGAGGTTGTAGTTTTCGGCTTTGGGCTTTACATGGCTTTACCATCAAGTTTAGGGGCCACATGAGGCCTTTGAGGCCCAGGATTTAGGTCCAGGCTTCTACAGAGCTGAAATTGGGGTGGCCTTTCGCGTGCTTGCATGCTTACGTGCATGCGTGCGTGCGTGCCTGCGTGCGTGCGTGCGTGCGCGGGTGCATGGGGTGCGCGGGTGCGTGGGGTGGGCGGGTGGGTGGGTGGGTGGGTGGGTGTGTACTGTGTGTGCGCGTGCAAGTGTGCCTGCCTGCATGGATGCCGGCCAAGAATTAGAAGTCACTTGCATTCAGCCCAACTGCTGGCGAAACTGCTGGTAAAAACAGAACCAGGGCCGAAGCCGCTGGTACCAAAAGAACCAGGGCCGAAGCCGATGGCAACCAAAAGAACCTTGGCCGAAGCCGCTGGTAAACAAAAGAACCAGGGCCGAAGCCGCTCCGCTGGTAACCAAAAGAAGCAGGGCCGAAGCGGCTGGTAACTAAAAGAAGCATTGCCGAAGCCGCTGGTACCAAAAGAGCCAGGGCCGAACCCGCTGGTAACCAAAAGAACCAGGGCCGAAGCCGCTGACCCTATACACCCCAAACTTGAAACAATGACCCTCTACAAACCCGATAAAAACCCTACGAATATGAATCTAAATCCAAATATAAACCCGATATAAACCTAAAAAACCCTATAAACTCCAAGCCTTAAAGCATTACCCTAAACAAAACCTGTAAACCCCAAACCTTCCACCATAACCCTAAACCCAAAACCCAAAACTCTATGAAAACCCTATAAACCTCAAACCTTCAACCACAACCCTAAACCCTAAACCCTAAACCCTGGACCCTAAACCCTAAACCCTAAACCCTGAACCCTAAACCCCTGTGAGAGCCGCACCCAAGCCGTGATGCCGGCTTCGCGTGCCGACCGCTCGCGGTGACAGGGTGGAGGCCTCGTAGATCAAGGGGTTTGGGGTTTAGGGTTTAGGGTTTAGGGGGTTTGGGGGTTTAAGGGTTCAGGGTTTAGGGTTTAGGGGTAGGGGGTTTAGGGTTCATTTTTTCGGCTGTCGGGGTTTTAGGGTTTACCGGGTTCAAAGCTCATGGTTTATGGGGTTTACCGGAAGGTTTACTTTCAGGTAATAGGTGGGGTTGCATGCACGTTCAGTAAGGCATACTGAAACTGAAACCTTGGTAAGGTACTCAGAGTCCCACTTGGGCTGGGGAGGATGTGGGTATGCCCGTAGAAACCAAATTTCTACATGGGCTGCGCAGGCACAGTGGAGCACCCAAAGAACTTTAATAAATAGAAAGCCTCAAGCCTGTGCAAACCCTCCAAAAACCCTACATAGACCCAAGCACTGAAAGCCCTATATAAACCCTGCAAACAAGAGTAACTTAGGAATAAGAAGGGTGCCCTTCTGATTGTAAAGGGGTTTATCAGGGAACCTAAGCCCAGCGCCCACTCTGGGTCCTACGAGTACGGGGCCCCCTGGCTATAAGTAGGGGGTGTAAGGGCGCCTTCTCGAAAGAACATCTCAAGGCCCAAGAAGGCCCGGGACCTAAATTGGGTCATAAGTCGCACTATCTCGATTATAACTCCCTCAACTAAAGTTTAGCAAGGGCGCCACTACTTGTACAGTAATTTGAACCCTATAAACCCCGAATGATTTGGGACCAACGGAAAGTAGTGGTTCAGGGTCTAGGGAAGGGGAATGGGGTGGGGGCGGCGGGGAAATGGCGGCGAAGGGTTGGGTTTCAGCATTTCAGGGCTGTAGTGGTTTTAGGTTGTTTCGGGGTGTTAGGGTGTCGGTGGGTTAGGCCGTAGGCCTTGGGTTTTTTTAAAGTCTTTGTTGTATGCGCTGGTTAAGGGCTTGATGGCCTTGAGTTCCAGATGCCAGCTGACCGAATGTTTAAAAAAAGGGGGGGGGGTAATTCCAAGAACCCTAAACCCCAAACCCTAAACCCTAAATCCTGAATCGCCAAAAGGTTACGCACAGGTATCTACGCAGATCCGGAGGTTCTATAGAGGCCACCGAAGAGGCTCCCACCCCACGGCAGAGGAGCGGCTCGCCATCAGAGGGTGCCTGTGCTATGTGCGGGGCAGCCCTCTTTGGAATTAGGGTTTAGGGTTTAGGGTTTGGGGTTTGGGGTTTAGGGTTTAGGGTTTGGGGTTTAGGGTTTGGGATACAAATTTGTGGTTGGTCCTTTGAACGCGCCGAAAAATTATATTTCTGCATGACAGTCTTAAAGCCCAAAAAATAAAATAGGGAATATCTCAATGTCCTACCCAGAATGTAACAACTTTGGCGCCGAGATATTCCCTATCAAAGTCTCTAGATTGTGAGGTAATTCGGGGTGTCGAGGATGCTGCCGCGCTTGGGCATGGTCAAGAGACTTACTTCAGGCTGAGCGCTTAAAGGCGCATGGCGTGAGTTTGCACTAGGCCCAGGAGTAACCTAGGAATAAAACGGGTACGTGCCCTTTGTGGTTTAAAGTGGCTGATAAGGAAACCTGAACCGTAAAAACAGG